CTCCCGTTCTTCTCCTTCGGCCTTGTTGTTGAAGGCCAGGCAGCGGCGCCCACAGTGGGCCACCGCTGCCTGAAGGGAGACGTCTCCGTGGGATATGTATTCCTCCAGAGTCGCGCCTTCCAGGTCCTCCTTGCGGGTGAACAAAAGGATCATATAATTCTTGCCCTTGTGACCGAACACCTCTTTGACCAGCTGAAGCGTCTCCATCTCCTCCCGGGTGAAACGGCCATGACGCATGACCCACAGAATAGCGTGGGGACCCGGGGTGCAAAACCTCACACACTTCTCGAGCTCCGCCACCCTTTTTAAATATGGAAACCCAGTGTTGAAAAAGCCCGGCGTATCCACCACCACAACCTTCCTGCCATTCCACAGGGTCTCCTCCCTTTGGCAAATCCTTGTCGGTGACCTATAACACATCTTAGACTTAAAGACGTTGCTTCCCAGGATGGTGTTTCCCGTCGCGCTTTTCCCACTTCCGGTGCTGCCCACCAGGAAGATCCTCTGATCAGGCCCTGCGACCCCAAAAGGGGAGAAGAAACAAGATGGGGACCCGGTCAGCAGCGTACGTCCATCGCACCCTGTTCCCGCCACCCAGGACAGTCGCCCCCACCCCATCCCGCCACCACCACCACACCCCACCCCAGGGCCCGAGACTTTACCTGGGTTGTTTCCAGCCATTTCCAGACGAGTCGCACAGCGCCAATCTCGGGGGTTGCGGCGTGACAGGCGAAACGGGATCAGCCGAAGGAGAGGCTGCCTCGCTCGGAGGTTCCCCCCTAGAAGACGCAGGCGGGAATTGGAGGGGCCACCCAAAGAGGGTCACCCCCTCCCCACTGCCCGTGAGGTGGAGTCGTCCTGTTCCTGAACCGGCTGGTGGACGCAGGAGACTGACTGACACACCAGTGAAATTGTCCTAGGAGACAATTCATACCCCTTTCCCGGACTCCCTTCCTGGACCCTCTTCCTGGACCCCCTTTCCTGGACCCTCTTCCTTGACCCCCTTTCCTGGACCCCTTTCCCGGACCCTCTTCCTGGACGCCCTTCCTGGACCTCTTTCCCAGACCCTCTCCCTGGATCCCGTTCCTGGACCCTCTTCCTTGACCCCTTTACCAGACCCTCTTCATTGACCCCATCCCGGAACCTCCTTCCTTGATCCCCCTCCTGGACCCTCTTCCTTGGCCCCTTTCCTGGACCCCTTTCCCAGACCCACTCCCAGGCCCCCCTGCCTGGACCCCTTTCCCAGGCCCCCTCCCTGGACCCCCTCCCTGGACCCTCTT